TTATTTTCTGTCAAAAAATCAGGGGATTTAAATACAGCACCATTGCCCCACTTCTATTTACATAATGAAAAAATAGGCTATACCAAGTGGTGAAAAGTAATTTGTTGGCTCCATTTGGCTCTTCAATCTAGCATTTTCACTAAATACAGTTTTCTTTGAGTTTTCTAAACCTTATCACCCTAATGAGTGAAAGTACAATCCCAACCCAAGTTAATGTTCAAGCACTCTTTGTAACATAATACTAATGTCTGCTGCTCTTCTCTATAAAAAAGAAAAAAATAAAAGGAAAAAGAAAGAAAACAAAATGCTATTTGTCAACATCTTTAAAGATGTTAACACAGTCCTGATATTGGGATATATATTAGACCCTGGGTTTATTCACAGTTACATATTTCCATTGTGTTTGGGTAGGTTATCATTAAAAGGAGTTATTTCTCAGCTGGAGATCAGCTAGGGGTTGTTCCATCCATTCGAAAAATGTAATTCTACTGTAATGACTACTCGTGTGTACATAAAAGAAGCAGGAAAGTGTGTTAGGCTGTTATAGTAAGAAAGAGATTAGATCCTATCTTATAATTTCACAGCTCTTTTCCTTTACCCACAGGTACTTTCTAGGACGTCAACATAGATTCCAATACTTGACTAATTAAGCTCAGTACATATTTCACTGTAATATATGGCATAGTATAGAGGATAATGAAACTAGTTTATAAAGTCAGAGCTTGCTGTTTCCTACATGTACCTAAACATTCTCTTATACGAACTGTAAAATGGCTTCTCCAGCAAACCAAACCTGAAGCTTTCAAAATGCTGTGGTGTTTATTTAGACTTGAGTCTTATGTGGTAGAAGAACACACTACCGTGGCAATGAAGGTGACTAGAGAATCAAGTAATTATTTCAACATGTCTTGCAAAACACAACCGAGGAAAACATTTGGATACTGTGCTTGACGACCTGGATCGGCCTTTCACCAAGAGCCTCTTTATATCTACACATATACACACTTCTCAAAAGGACCAGAAAAAATTTTTATATGTTCCTGAAAAAAGTCATGAGAGATTCAACAAACATACAAAGGAAATATTTCTACTATGTGATGTAAAGGAAAGGGAGAAAAGGGCACACAATTGATCCACTAAAAATAAGAATATTATTTTGTTTCATAATCCCACAGGGAGGCACACACAAATGGGTATATCCACACCGGAAATTACAGAGGGAGTAGGTAGAGGCTGGGGTGGGCAACAGCAGAAATAATTCATAAAAAGGCGCCTTTTTCAGCTCCGGAATAGGATGCCCCAAGTAGCCTATATTTTTCCTCTAGTCATATGCACCCTCCTAAATCAGTTTATCAATAGCATTATGCTTATTCCTCTTTCTATCCCAGTCCCTGCCTTTCTTGTCCCTGTTCTTTCTTTTTTCCCCCTCTTATGCTAGGAGTAGTGCTTTACAATGAATATAAGGAATGAGACAGTTAATAAGAATGTAAATCTACATACAAACCATCCACCCTCACGTGGGTTGTTTCCCAGTAGCATTCTAACTGGCCTGCTCCTCTATAATCCATTCTTCTCACACTCGCCAGAGAGATACTATTGTAACACAACTTTGATCATGTCACTTTACTACTGACAACCCTCCAAATCTAACCATTGCACTTAGAATAAAAACCCAACTCCTTATCATGATTAGCAAAGCCCTCTACCCTCTGCCCTTGCCTGATTTTCTTCAGCCTCATAGTGCCCCACTATAAACCCTTCTGTTCCTTAAGGACAATAAACTCATCCCTTCTTTAGGACCTTATGCCTGCTTTCTCCCTCTGCTTGGTTCACATGGCATCCCATAGCTACATTTAGATACCAGGTTAAAGATGACCTCCGTAGACAGGTCTCCTGTTAGTAACACAATACACAATGGCTTTATCACTCTATGCTGTTTTCCTTCAGAACTTCTCATCCGCGCCCTGCACTGGAACATATGTTATGGGGGAACAGGACCCTGAATCCCCAGAGCTCGGAACAATGGCTGGCACATGGCAGGTGCTCTATAAATGTTTGTCAAACAAACAAGGCTGCGCACTTCTTTGCTGAATGCTGTAGTACTGCTTGCCTTTCAAAATAACCTGGGATTCTTTCATCTCCTTGTGGCTATTTGTAGAAAGAAAGACAGCTCAACGATTATGCAAGCCCATTTCCCTGTAATGCTATGTGACATTGGTATTATTGCTTGTGTTCTTCCAAATTTGCTTCATGCTATCTGATACATAATTTAATTTCTTTCTCATCGTGCTTGTTTATTCAACGTTAGCTGAACACTTCAATGCACTGGGTAGTATATTTATCCGTCTACTTCACATTTTGTCTATTGACTTCATTTTTATGTCCTCAAAACAAAGTGTGTGGGCACTTAATCATCTGTTTGCATTTTCATGTGGCGTTGGTATAGACTGTACTGTGACTCCCAGAATCCAAACATAAATTAAAACATCTTCTGATTAGAAAAGCTGATGTAAAATACTAAAATGTTCCTTTGGTCAGAATTATTTATAGAGCTATTGCTATTGTTTTTGTAAAACATAGCAAGTGCTTTCACAGCTGTTGAAAAGAAAGAAAATGATTAAAGTATTTCATGGAAATTTTTTTTCTCTTTTAGGGGCTTGATTGGGACTAGCAAATTTGTACTTCATTTTGTTAAAAAAAGGAAGAAACAGGTCATCAGAGAATTCTTCAGTGTACTCAACAAATAAAAGCAAAAAGCAAAAGAACTGGGAAAAGCAGTTTTATATATAAAGAGATTTCAGGTACAATGGTCAGCATATTCTGAGAGAAACACAATCAGTATGTTTTCTCATAAAATTTTTATACTTGAGTTTAGGAATCAGATGTAATTTTTGCTTTACTTTGTGTTCAGATATAAGATGAGGGAGACCAATAAATCATAGGGATGCTTACTTCAATAATCCTCAAACTGAGTATTTGTGTATATGAAACTTGGAAGTTCTACAGATTATAGAATTACTGGTATTGTTAGTATCTGGAGACAAAAACATTTTCAGTCTCTTTCCAGTTCACCCTCACTATGTAGCACAACTCCAAAACTCCTTCAACCTTGTGAAACTAAAATCCATTGATCTTATAATCTCTCACAGGCCCTTGCTTCTTCCAAGATTCCTCCACCCCTTTCCCAGTTTCAATTCCACAGTCAATCATTATAATCCTTGTTTCATACACCCTCAACTCCCTATTCCCTCCCTCAAGCACTCATTTCTTTTCTCCTGGCAAAATACCAATCCTGGTTAAATCTAATTCTCTGCCTACTTGACACCTGAATCCAGGCAAACAAATGGGGCTGAAACATACACATACATACACACACACACACACACACACACACACACACACACACACTCAGCTTGACTAAACTTTAGACAGGCTTCTTCCTGACTTTTAGGCTCCCACTTTCTCTTTTTTTAGAGCATTTACTTTAAAAGTTTGCAACTGTAAACTCTTTTTTTCAATTTATTTTTTGTATATTAGTTTCAGGTATACAAAATATCATCATGATTAGACATTTACGTCCCTCACAAAGTGATAACCCCACCAAGTCTACTACCCCTCTGACATTGTGTATGGCTGTTACAATACCACTGACTATATTCCCTATGCTGTACTTTACATCCTGTGACTAGATAGATAGATAGATAGGTAGATATTTAATTATAGTTGACATTCAATATTCTTCTACACCAGCTTTGAGTATACAGCACAGAGGTCAGGCATCTACACAATCTATGAAGTCATCCCCCTGGTAAGTCCAGTGCCCATCTGGCACCTTACATAATCTTTTAATCTGCCTCTTCAAGATGCAAAGCTTTTCCCAGCCTTTGCCAGTTGTACAGCTCAGGAATGTTTTTCTCAAGGACCTAGGAGCCATCCCTTAGAAATATAATCACAGAAGGATGTAAGGCCTCTATCTCCCAGTCTCTGTGGGAGGCTAAGAGCCTAACTTCCAGAAGGGATAATTAGCAAACAGAGATGACCTAATCGCATTGACCAACCTCCACCCTACTGGAGCTCACTTGCTCTCTTTAGCACTTAAAAATCCTCCCATGTCTGGTTCCAGCAGAGTTGAGTTTGATCTCTGTCCCTTATTGCAAGTCTAAAATAAAGTCTTCCTTGCTTAACTTAGACTTGGGATTGCTAACATCAAGTGAGTTCTGAGTGATGCCTGTCAATCCTACCATGTTGTCTTAGCCCATGCACGCTTCCATTTTTCTCATACCTTCTCCTCCATCCCCAGATTTCTCATACCTCTACCTAATCCTCATTCTCAGTTGACAGACTTGTTTTCTAGATCACAGAGAAAACAGAAGATTCCAGAACAGGTTTTCTGGGGGGAAACCACCCCTCCCACCACCTACCTGCATGTGTGCCCCACATTCTCTGCCTTCCTTGTCTCTATGGGCACCAGAGACCCTATGCTCTTGTGTTCATTCAAGACTCTGCTTGTGTAAACCTCCTCTGTCTCCTGCTTCAACGTTTTTGTGCTTAATAGGTTCAGAGAAAAATAAGTAACAGTGACACTTTCACCTTCAGTCATAAAATTATGTGTGTAAAATACATTCATAGGCAAGTAAAATATGTACCCAACAGCTAATTCCTGTTATAAATTTGCTGATCTGAAGTTTCAGAGTGGCAATTACAACAATCTTGCTTTATACTGACTAAAATAAGAGAAATATGCCATCTCCCATTCTTGGAAGTCAAAGTCAAATTATATTTGTCACAATGAAGTTTTCTTCCCTCTACAGTTGATTTGCACATTTCTATGTATGCTATAAACATCAGATGTGCTGAGCTGCTTTTAATTAAAGCCGAATAAAATGCATCCCAGAGCTTTAAACTATTTAAAAAGAGCTCCCTGCAGTTTGTAATTTGTTATTACACAGTTCTGATGGGCTGGGTCCCATCTGAAAAAGTTCAAGGGTTAAAACAATTACCTCTTCAAGGACGTCAGCAAGTTTACTGAGGATCTCTTCAGGAAGGCTCTGGAATGTCGGAACGCTGAAAAACAAAAGAGATGGTGCCGATGGCATGAAGAGCGACTTACTTTCATTAATAAAACACAACACACCTGAATGAAAAATGCCAAAGCATTTCATAACAAAGAATCTGTAAATGAAAATCAAAGCAATAGCCTAAGCGTGATTTGATGACGAACAGGGAAAAGACATGTTGCAGTAGAAAGAACTTGGGGGTTGCACAGAATCAAGTTCAAATCCCACTTACATTTATCTGTGTGACCTTGAATGCCCAGTATAATGCGGAAGAATCCACTATCTCCCTTATTTGTCTACTGTCCTTGTAGTTCCAACTGCCTCCCTGGTCTACACACACACATACACA